AGCTATATTTTGTTTCTGGAGATGTTATAGAGAAAACACCGAACCAGAAATCAGAGGATTTGGGATCTAGTATAGACCATGCTACCAACCTAGGAAGGAATTCCCTAATTTCGTTTAGCTTCAATTTTCTTATTTTCAAATGGTTAATAAAGAAACTCTATTTGCTCTTGAGGACAGAGTTATTCTTTTCTATTGTGAAGTTTCTTCAACTAACAAAAATGTACTTGGTTTATGCCTTTGTTGCAGTGCAGCTTGGAAAATACAAGGCATATCTACATCAATGTTCCATCTAACAGGCTGTGGGTCTCACCTGGTCCCCTGTGAAGTTGCAGTACAAGTAAAGAAACACTGCTTAGCAGCACTTGCCCAGCTGTGGAAGCAGGCATTCTCCATCCCGATGGGAAGGAAAGGGATTCAATGGAATAAAAGGTCCCAAACAATCAGAAAAAGCAGGTTTATTAATGTTGATTTAGTGGCATCAGCTGCTTCCCTGCTTTTCCCTCCTCATGTGATATTTTGAAACACTGCATGGTATTTTCAGGATGCTAACATAGACAATCTAATGCATATGTTCCTTACAAATGCAAGCAATGTAAGGCAGATGCATAGAACTTTGACTAATGTTTCCATAAAGCAAGTGTCTGCAAACTATGGCTTGTGAATGCCACCTGTTTCTGAAAACAATGTTTTATTGGAAGACAGCCATGCCCATCCATTTATGTATCGTCTGTGGTTGCTTTGTGGCAGAGTTGAATAGTTGGGCCAGAAACTGCATGGCTCACAGAAGCCATGAAGAGTTACCATCCAGTCTTTTACTGTAAAGTTAGCCAAACCTTAGGCTATATAGACTAAAACCTTATTTTCTGGTGGAAAATTTAAAAAAATCAGAAACACAAAGCTCAATGAAGCATAATTTATTTCCAGCTTGAAAACAATTCTTAATCTCCTTAAGAAACAGCAACCACTTAGGAATTTTAACAATTGTGAGAAGGTCCATATATACCAGGTAATACCAAGAGTGTTATTTTACTGGTCAAAAATGTCAAAAAAGAACCCATATTCTCTTGGGGGAAGATAAGCAGGCTTTCAAGTATGACTGTGAAGAATCGGGAAAAGATAGCCTAAACTTTAGGGTTACAAACAATCTCATAATTCAGTTAGCTCGGTTTTCTAACACAGTATCTGTCACCATTTAAAGTTCATCTTTGCAAACTGTAAATTGCTGGGAACACACAATGCATAATCGTCCTCCTGTGACTATGTTTAGTCCAGTGTCACTTACCTAAAGTTCTAAAGAGCCCCATTAAAACTGTAATCTGGGTGAGCTGAGTAAGAAGGGAAAGTTGCTTCTCCAGCACCTTTATTTATGACCTCACTCCTACTCATGCCAATGGTTTCTTCCATCTTCCTATGGAAATTCTGTAGCGA